GCTGCTCGCGCCCCGGTGGCAGGACTGCCCGGCAGAGCGGATCCTCTGCCCTTTCTAATCCCGGCCCACTGAGCCCGCAGCGGGAGAGCCCGAGCGTCCATGTGCTTAACGGGAAGCAGGAAGGAGCGGCTGCGAGCGCCGTCCCGGGGCCCAGGCGCCCAGACCGTTATGGGCTGTGTGGCTGGCGGGGAGCAGCCAGGGAAACTGGCTTTCTGCGCCGTAACTTGCTAATTATTGGCTCCGAGGCCTCCTGGCAAAGTGGGTTGACTGCAGGTGTGTGGCCTTAATCTCTGGCCGAGCTGGCGAGTTCCTCTCTCCCCGTGCCAGGCTCCGGACATCAATACCTGCTTTCATCCCCTGGCCGCCGAGGTCGCAGAGCTCCGTGAGTCCCCAGGCGCCGAGGGCCTCTCTCCCCAGAGCGCCCCGGAGGGAAGGAGGAGGGAAGGCCTGCAGCAAGCAGTCATCCTGTCTGGGTTCCAGCAGGGGCTTGTGGGCCCTTTGCTCAACACCAGAGTTGAGGCGACTGGGCCTGTGTGTGAGTGGCCGACTGCACCTGTGATCCCTGTCCCTTCGGACCTGGCTCTGACCATACAGAGACCTGATAGACGCTTTCCAGACAGAGCGACCGAGCCTTTTCTCTCCTGGCATCCCACAGCCTACTCTTCTCGACTAACTGCGGCCTCTGGCCAGATTTCACCCTGAAAGGTAGGGCCTCCTCATTGTCGGCCACTGGTCAGGCTGTAAATCAGTCCCCATCCCTACCTTCAGCTGCCTCTACACAAGCTGGCCCTGGGGACTTTTGGATTGACATCCTGGTCAAGCTGTAGGCCAGATGAGCCTGAGGACCCAAGCTGTTTTTGCTGCCTCTCACCCCTATCTTTCCCAGAATTTGACCCAACTTTCTGGGCCTGTGCTGCTGCTGGATTCATGACACACCTCTTCTTCACTCACACATTGCTTGCAGCCTTCTAGTTCAGTTTGAGACCTGCTGCCTGGAAGGAAAGTTTTCAACAAGGAAGACTATTCAGGACTTCTTGCATGGCTCTTTGTGTGTGTGTGTGTGTGTGTGTGCACGCCAAGGATTGAACCCAGGGGCACTTAACCTCTGAGCCACATTCCCAACCCTTTTTTTTTTTTTTGAGACAGGGTCTCACTAAGTTGCTTAGAGCCTTGCTAAGTTACTGAGGCTGTTTTGAACTTGTGATCCTCCTGCCTCAGCCTCCTGAGTTGCTGGGATAACAGGCATGCACCACCTCACCAGCATGCCATGTTTTTGTAGTTCCTTAGGCTTTGCAAGACCCTCTTTTTCACGCTGTCTCTTAGGTCCCCTTTGTATTTTCCTTAGTTATTTTACCAAACTCTGAGAGCCAGTGGGACTGTTATTACATTGAGTCTGTGAGAGTTCTTTTCTCACAGGCTAAATCTCTGCTCTGTCCGCCCTCTGGGTCTATTAGCTCCCATGGAGTCTCCCTACTTTTTTCATCCACCTACAGGAGTCTTGGGGGGTGGTCAGACAGAGGTGGGGCAGAGATAAGGGCTCAGCAGAACACTGCTCATGTTCAAGGTCACCTGATACTTGAAGCCCCTCTCCAGCTTGCAGAGCATTTGTGTCTCTGAGGCAGGTGTGTGGTGTGAGGGAGACACACACAAGCTCATCCACTCCATCTCTCTTCATATGGGGGATGTAATTCATTTCTTTTTTGGGGGTACCAGGGATTGAACTCAGGGGCACTTGACCACTGAGCCACATCCCCAGCCTTGCTGAGGCTGGCTTTGAACTCGTGATCCTCCTGTCTCAGCCTCCTGAGCCACTGGGATTATAGGTGTGCACCACTGCGCCCCGCCCCTTGTGGGGGTGTAATTTCTGTAAGTCGAAAAGTGTGTGATTTTCTCTGCCAGAAAATCAAGTATCTGCCCTGAGGGCTAAGGGGGCCTAGAGGCAGGGTCTTCCCTGTACCTTGACCTTTCCTTGCCCTGGCCTCTTGTTTATGGGATTCCTTGTTTGGCTTGATGTGCAGGTGCCAGGAAGCTGCTAGGCTTGCCACAGGGAACAGACTGGCTGCTTGGCTCTGCGGGGGAGTGTAGGAGGGCGGGCGGCTAGGAGCCCCAGTTGTCATCCTTTGCCTCCTGTCTAGCCAGAAGTCCTAACCCCCTGAACCCACTGCTGAGCCTTGCACCTCTCCCTGCTGGGAGGGGTAGTGCTTCTAGGCTAATGGAAGTGAAGAACAGCATGGGAGGGCTGTGGTCACAGAAAGCCTGTGAGAGCCCCATTAATCTGCATCTCTGAACTCCTGACATACTCTCTCACAAGCCTGTCTTTTACCCTACATGCCTGGGGTGGAAGAGTGTGGGTGCTGTCTTGTCTTAGAGCTGAAGTGGGTACACTTTGTAAGTTCTCTGACACCTGTGGTGCCTCCCTCCCCAGCTCATCTTTGTAGGGATCAGACAGGTGCAAGACATTCCTGGGCCCCAGGAGTCCAGGAGGAGGGGCTCACTCCAGGCCCCTGGCTAGCCCTCTGAACCCTTACCCCTCAAACACCCCGACCAGAGACCCACCTTTGCCAGTTTCCACTGACTGGGATGGAGATGGGGTTCAGAGTGGAAGCTTGCCTGTTCCCCTGGGCTTTAATTTGTGGAAAAATTGGGCCTCAAGAGACAGAGGATTGGGGCTGGGGATGTGGCTCAAGTGGTAGCGCGCTCGCCTGGCATGCGTGCGGCCCGGGTTTGATCCTCAGCACCACATACAAACAAAGATGTGTCCGCCGAAAACTAAAAAATAAATATTAAAGAAAAATACTCTCTCTAAAAAAAAAGAGCAGATGACTGGGTCAGTTATAGTTCCCCACCTCCAATCAGGCTGAGCAAAACAAAAGAAGGTGGGAAGGAAGAGGGGAGGCGAAGGTGTTCAAACATACTTTGTGATTCTGCATGTCCCTTCTCAAGTTTTTATCTTTGTCCTTTCTTTGATTTTTCTATTTTTCTTTGTGAAAAATTGCATGTATATGTGTGTAGAAAGTTCTGCTGTGGGAAATTATATTTAATTTTGTTCAGTTCAAAAGGGTTCCATCTCTTGAACTAATTAAATATTTATTCTGGCTAAGGTGGAGGGGGAAGGGGCAGTGCCCTTGTGTGCTGAGGCCTGGAATGTGCGTGTGTCTGTGAGTGATTCTGAGCAGGAGGGGGAAGGTGGAGCTGAAGCTCCTTTATTGTCAGTGCTTACCTCTGATTTCATCCGAGAGAGCAATGACCAGGAGTGGGGACAAGAGGGTAAAGTCCTTGAGCTGGAATACTGACCCGTGACAGGCTAGTGACAGGCTAAGAGGGATTTCGCAAGTGCTTCTGTGGTAGGTGGGGTGGAGCCAGCTGAGGCCAGCCCACCTCTGCTCAGCCTTTTGCAGCCCGGGATTGGTCTCCCATTCACATGGGACAACAATCCCCCCACTGTCTTTCCTCCCCAGTTGGGAGGGGGCCACCTTCGGTCTCAGCTTGCAATCTCAAAGCCAGTCTGAATACCACCAGCTCTCTTTCCTCTTGGGTGGGAACCTGGAGAAGACCGCCTCACGGTGGAGTCCTGGGACTGCCGGGTGCCGTGCTAGATCTGACATCATTGACTCTTCAGGGCCATTTTGCTACTTCTGTTGGCTCCAAGCAAATGTTGTCCCCCCCATGAACCACACAACATTCTCTCCTTCATTTGGGTTCTGACTGGTCTGCAGCCCTGTTCCTTTTTCTTCAGTGGGGGAAATGGGGAAGGGGTAAAGCGACAGCTGTTTCCTGGGAGGAGGAATATTTGCGATGAGTGTTTCCCTGCAGATTAGTGTTTTATGTTCTGGATGAGCCTTCATAAGAACTAGCTCCATTCTACCAGATGTCTTGGTCTGTTGTCCAGATTCTTTGTCCCCAGTCCTTGACTCTATGCCACTCGGCCTTCACTTTCTTCTTTTAAAAAATAATTTAAAAATCAATTAATTAAAAAATAATACATATATAGATGGGAACATGTCTTTATTTATTTATGTGGTGTTGAGGATCGAACCAGTGCTTCACACATGCTAGGCAAGTGCTCTGCTACTGAGCTGCAGCCCCAGCCCCCTTCACTTTCTTTCTGAAAGAGGCTTACACATAAGGTTCTTCTGCCTTAAGTGTAAACTGGATGGCTCACTGTGAGGTGTCACCTTGTGTGCTTGGTGTTCATTGACTCTTTTGGGGCTCAGCATCATTCAGGAAAATTTTAGCTTTCCTTAGGATTTGCTGCCCAGATGAGTTGTAGGGAAGGGAAGTGTTTGCCCCAGCCTGTAATCTGTTTTGGGGCCCTTCTCTCCCCTCTCCCATGAACCTTAAAGCCTGAGGGTGGGGTGAAGGAAGGGTGCCTTTGATTTTACTCAGGTTCTTGGCCATGGCTTCTCATGTCAAGTTCTGCCTGTCCTCCAGGTTGAAACAGCAAAGTGAAGAACCTGAGGTTCTGTATTCCAGGGACTCAGGACTTCTAAAGGTGTCAGCACCACCTGAGGTTGCCATAACATTAAGTGTTAAATCTGGAAAGCCATGGGCTGTGGCTCAATGACAGAGTGTTTGCCTAGCACATGCGAGGTACTGGGTTCGATCCTCAGAACCACATACAAATAAACAAATAAATAAAATAAAGGTATTATGTCCATCTACAACTAAAAAAACATCAAAACAACAGCAACAACAACAAAAACTGGAAAGCTACAATATTACAGATGAGGAAACTATTTGCCTCAGACCACATAGCCAGGACCAAACTCCAGGGCTTGAGTTGCTGCCCCCTGCTCCTTTTTTCTTTTTTGGGGGGGTACCAGGGATTGAACTCGGGGGCACTAGGCCACTGACCCACACCCCCAGCCCTATTTTGTACTTTAATATTTAGAGACAGGGTCTCCCTGAGTTAGCTAGTGCCTCACTTTTTCTGAGGCTGACTTTGAACTCAGGATCCTATCTCAGCCTCCTGAGCCACTGGGATTACATGGGCCACAGCACCTGGTCCCTTGCTCCTTTTGAAATACCAAGAAAGCCTTCATTCCTCTAACTCTTCCATCTTATCTCATTCCCTCTTTACTCAGGATGCTCCAGACCTTGTATGATTACTTCTGGTGGGAACGTCTGTGGCTGCCTGTGAACTTAACCTGGGCTGACTTAGAAGACCGAGATGGACGGGTCTACGCCAAAGCCTCCGACCTGTATATCACACTACCCCTGGCCTTGCTCTTCCTCATCGTTCGATACTTCTTTGAGCTGTGAGCATATCAGCCTATCCTCAGGCCTTCCCCAGCCGCCCGCCAGTCTTTTGCTGTTTAATTAGACTTGGATCCTGGTGTTCTGATTACCAGGCCCCTGCCCACTGTGTCCCCTTACCCTCAGGGCACCATTGTCTTTCTGAGGGCTCAGCACCCCCAAGTACTGTCCTTCAATGGTTATTTGTTCTTATCCTCCACCCCCAACCAGGCCTGGTCACTAGTGAACACAGGCAGCTTTGTCAGCTGTGGGCAGCCCAGGAGGCTAGAGGAAAGGGGTTGCCAGGAAACTGGGGAAACTGAGGCCCAGAATAAAGCTGCCCGAGCTTGCAGTTCTGTCCCCTCCCAATTCGGGGGCTCAGAGCATTCCAGGAGAGCCAGACACCTCTCACTCGTGTCCTTTCCCCAGTTATGTGGCTACACCACTGGCTGCCCTCCTCAATGTAAAGGAGAAAACTCGGCTGCGGGCACCTCCTAATGCCACCTTGGAGCATTTCTACCTGACCAGCGGCAAGCAGCCTAAGCAGGTATGAACTGCAGACTCCTCTGGCCCAAGCTACTGAGCCCCGGTGGGGAGGGCAGAGGGAGACATGGGGTTTTAGCCCTGATGGGTGAAGGGACAGGTGGGAGTGCTGCCGATTCCGAGGTTGAACATAATGGCTTCTTCACTCTACCCAGGTAGAAGTAGAGCTTTTGTCCCGTCAGAGTGGGCTCTCTGGGCGCCAGGTAGAACGCTGGTTCCGCCGCCGTCGCAACCAGGACCGGCCCAGTCTCCTCAAGAAGTTCCGAGAAGCCAGGTAAGCTGATACAAACAGAACTGGGTGGTAGAGGGGCTGGGGCTGAGTGGTAGCGCACTCGTCTAGCATGTGTGAGGCCCTGGGTTAGATCCTCAGCACCAAATAAAAATAAATTTTAGTGTCCATCTACAACTAAAAAAAAAAAAAAAAAAAAAGAATGAATTGGGTGGTAGAGAAAGGTCAAATGTGTCTTGCTGGGAGGCCACCACCACCAGGAGAATTCAGTTATTAATAGTAACCTTGAGGCTATCTGGGGGCTATGCTATTCTCCTACCCAGCCATTTGTGCTCCCTCTTCCAGTTGGAGATTCACATTTTACCTGGTTGCCTTCATTGCCGGAATGGCCGTCATTGTGGATGTGAGTGGCGATTACTGGGAAGTGGGAGTAGGTTCTCTAGCAAGGTGGGATGGAGCTATAGAATTTGGGTCCATTGTTCTTTTAATGTTTCACCATTTCTCTGCAGAAGCCCTGGTTCTATGACATGAGGAAAGTTTGGGAGGGATATCCCATACAGGTATGAAATGGAGCCTTGTGAAGAGATGGTTTCTGGGACACATGGAAGAGGGACTGGTTTTACAGAATTAAGAATAACCTTGGCTAAAAGGGCTGGGATTGGAGGGTGAACCCTTTGGGGCTAGTTGCCCTGAGGTTCCTACCCGCTTTCCTCTTCCAGAGCATCATCCCTTCCCAGTACTGGTACTACATGATTGAACTTTCTTTCTACTGGTCACTGCTCTTCAGCATTGCCTCTGATGTCAAGAGAAAGGTTGGTGAAGAGCTGTGCAGTTAAGCCCAAGAGCCAAATGAGGTCCCGGGATGAAGTTTTCTCCTTTGACTTCTGAGAGCTTTGGGTGGAGCTTTTACAATATGGGGGACAAGGGGTAAAAAAGAATAGTGAGAGCTGGTGAACAGGAAATCATCTCCTAGAACCTGCATCTCTTCTGCAGGATTTTAAGGAACAGATCATCCACCATGTGGCCACCATTATCCTCCTTAGCTTCTCCTGGTTTGCCAATTACCTCCGAGCGGGAACTCTCATCATGGCTCTGCATGACTCTTCAGACTACCTGCTGGAGGTTAGGCTTCCTTTTGAGGCCCTATTGCAGGTTCTTCGTTGGCTTTGTCTTTTTGGGGGTGGTGGTGAAGGCAACAGAGAGCCAGTGCTGACACTGAGTGCACGTATGAATGTATGTGGGAGTCAGGGTCTCGTGGTGACGTATAGGGGCTATTTATGCAGTCAGCCAAGATGTTCAACTACGCTGGATGGAAAAATACCTGCAACAATATCTTCATCGTCTTTGCCATTGTTTTTATCATCACTCGACTGGTCATCTTGCCCTTCTGGTAAGTAGGTGTCCAAGCTATCCTCTTGAGAACTCACCTTTCTCTCCCTCACTTATTTACCCACTCTGGTCCATGTTTACAATTCTCTCCCCCTGGAAATCCTCAGGATCCTGCACTGCACCCTGGTGTACCCGCTGGAGCTCTATCCTGCCTTCTTTGGTTATTACTTCTTCAATGCCATGATGGGAGTGCTGCAGACGCTGCATATCTTCTGGGCGTACCTCATTTTGCGCATGGCCCACAAGTTCATAACTGGAAAGGTGAAGGCTGTCTCCCATTTGTAGGCCTTATCACTCTCAACTACAGAACTCCCCAAACTCCATGTCATGTCAGTAACCCTTTGAAAAACTATTGTGGGACACCCAATGTGCTACACCTATAATTCCAGCAACTCAGACTCAGGAGGCTGAGGTAGGAAGATATCAAGTTCAAGGCCAGCCTTGGCAACTTAGTGAGAGACTGTCTCAAAACAAAAAGGCCTGGGGATGTAGCTCAGTGGCAAAGTGTCCAATCCTCAAGCACCACAAAACAAACAACGTTGGGGCCCTGGGCACATAGGGATAAGCTCTCAGTGACCTTTTTCCTCCATTTTTCACAGCTGGTAGAAGATGAACGCAGTGACCGCGAAGAAACAGAGAGCTCAGAGGGGGAGGAGGCTACAGCTGGGGGAGGAGGCAAGAGCCGGCCCCTAGCCAATGGCCACCCCATCTTCAGTAACAACCATCGTAAGAATGACTGAACCATTGTCCCAGCTGCCTCCCAGATTAACGCAGAAAGCCAAGGAACTAGCCAACCTTCCTCATAGGGTCACTTCAAGCTCTGGGGAGATCTACAGAGAAGGGGAAAGGAGACTTCTGTGTTCTTTCTCCTCTGTCACCCTGTTGCCTTTAAACCAAATTCTAACCAGCCCGTCCTCATAGAGGAGACTGGTTATATCCTGTATTAGAGGGGAATGGTTTTAGTGTCCTTTCTGTTCACTATTATCCTTTCTATAGCTTTTGAGATCCCTACTCAGCTCTGGGAGTGGGGGTATGATCCACATTCCTTGTTCTAGAGAATTTGGCCCTGTTTGCCTTTGACTCCCTGAATGCCACAGCCAGGGTCGTGCCTTACTGTCCCATCCGTGGGCCTCATTCTGCCAAAGCTGGACCAAGGCTCACTTTTCTAAGCTTCCTGACTTGGGTCAGAAACCAAAGCTAAACTGACTCTTAACTTTTTCCAACTTTTTTCCTAAAGACGGAACAGACTGTGTATAGGAGGGTACGCAGCACCCTTACCCTACTTCTGCCAACAAGTGGGGTAATACTGGGGACTGCTCAGATGGTCGTGCTGCTTACTTCTCTGCCAGCTGTCCCTATGGCCACAAGTCCAAGGTCTTCCAACTTCTCCTTTCTGTCCTCTTTTCTTCAGCTAGGCTAGCTGGTTTGGAGTAGAATGGCAACTAGTTCTAATTTTTATTTATTAAACATTTGGAGTTTTGGTTTTAAAGCCAGAATTACAGCTAGCACCTGGCATTTCAGCAGAGGGACCATTTCAGACCAAAAATGTACTGTTAATGGTTTTTTTAATTAAAATATATTAAAGATTAAATAAAACGTGGCAACAAGGATCAGACTATTAGGAACTGATGAGGAATTAACTAAATAAACTAAGATAGTTTTTCTTATGCCTTCCTTGTAGTTATGTAACATTCTTTTAAGTTTCACATGGCAAATAAAAGTTGGAGAAGATTAATGACAGCTGCCCATTGGAGGGGGGAGTGGGGCAGGTCTCTCCACTGACAGATCCAGAATGGGAGTATGGGGCCCGAGGGAGGGAAATCAAATCACAATCTTAGTCTGACCATTTTGTTAAAAAGACTTTTCAAGGAACAATACAAACCAGGGATAGCAGATATGCACTGCCGCCTCCACTTCAATTAGAATAATGGACATGGGAACAACCGTGGGATGGCAGGCCCAGGTACGAGTGGTGACCTCTTCCCATCCCTGAGTGCCTCAGGGAGTCAAGAAGGGACTCTGCCTGCTAGCACCACATTGGAGAGATCTCCTGATCCAGAACCCCCATTTCTATCTACTAGGAACTGGGGGGAGTGGCTAGACCAGAGACTTGGGGTCAGAGCTGAACAGTCAGGAAGACCCAGTTCCTGAGGAAAGGAGAGTTCTGAAGGCAGGGAAGGCGGCTGTCTAAAGAAGACGCCCTCTGCATTCGATGGCCCCACAGCAGCAGAGCAGCTCCTTGCCTTCCACACTGCCCACCTCATAGTTGTAGTCCCAAGTAAGTTCTGTTCCAGCCCGGATTCTCCTGAAGAGGAAGAAAAAAAAGGATGGGGTGTGGTGAAGGTAGCAAATTATGTAGGGGTTATGAGAATGTGTACATGGAAGCCAGGCGCGGTGGCACATGCCTGTAATCCCAGTGGCTCAGGGGAGCTAAAGCAGGAGCATCATGAGTTCAAAGCCAGCCTCAGCATTAGCGAGGCACTAAGGCAAATTCCCGAGACTCTAAATAAAATACAAAATAGGGCTGGGCATGTGGCTCAGTAGTTGAGTGCCCCAGAGTTCAATCCCTGGTAATCCCCCCCAAAAAAGATGTATATGTGGAGCTGGACCATGGAGACAAAGCACAGCTCTCAAACATTTGTAGCCTCTGACTGTATCCCATTTGTCCCTAGCATATTCTGTGCTGTGGCTACGACTGTGAACAGGACTCAGCTCTTTGTTCCTTAAAAGAAAGACAATTCAGTGCTGAGGTTGTGGCTCAGCAGTAGAGTGCTCGCCTGGCATGCGAGAGGCCTTGGGGTTGGATCCTCAGCACCACGTAAAAATGAATAAATAAAATAAAGGTATGTGTCCAAATACAAATAAAAAAGATATTAAAAAAAAGAAGACAATTCTGGGAGATAGTGTCACAGGCAGGCTCCCTCCATGACCTGAAACCACTAAAGTTTGGAAACCACAATTTTACTCATCCTTACCCTTCCCCACTCATCCCCTCTCCCAATTCCCTCTTACTTGCTGGCAAAGAAGGCCACCCAAGGGAAGCGAAGATCATGGGTATCCACAAAGACATTCTGAACAAACAGGTTGGGGCTGCAACTATGCTGTAAGTTTAAGGACAGCATTGAATCAATACCAAGGAAATAAAAGTGAGAGCGGAAAAAAATGATAGTATCTGACCAACCCCATTATAACAGAGATGTTTTGAAAGAAAGCTAAGAAAGCTACCTCTTCAAAATTTTTTGAAAACCAGTTTATATACATCAACTATATAAAAGTTCATATTGTATGTTAACAAAAAAATAGAACTTTGGGGACGATGGGATATGTGAACCATCTAGAGGCAGAGGGAAGGGATCTTACATTGAGGTAGCGGCCCAAGTTGCCTTCAAGCTTGGCATCGATGATATAGCAAGACTCTTCACCATCGTAGAACTGGCGTGTATTCTTCCGAACAGGTGCACTCTCCCCCTTGTCCACAGAGGCCATGTTGGTTGATTTAATGGCTATCCCATGGGTTGATTTAAGAGCAAAGCCCCGGGTTGATTTTACTGCCACCTGGCGCTTTGTCGGACCTGGAGAGGAAGGAAAATGGGGTCAGGACCCACCCCGATTCACGATTCAATTGCATGTTATTACCCACTCCCCACCATTTTTTGGTGTTCTAGAGATGGAACTCCAAGCCTAGAACATGCTAGGCAAGTGCTCTACCACTGAGCTACATCTCTAGCCTATCTACTCTCATTCTTATGCCACGTGTAGCAGCTCAGGAATACCAATAACCTAGGTCTCAGGCAAAGACTTCAGTAGCCATGTTTTCAAGCAGGATTAAATCTGCTGGACAAAGGAACTGAGGGAAAGAGTAAGGAACTGAGAAGAAGAGAGGAAGGGGACATGTTAAATAAGTTAATAGTTTAGCTTAGCATCAGGGAGCCCTCCCCAAAATGCTTTAACTCTTAGGATCTGAATTTGCCACTCCCCTACTTCTTTAGCTTCCTTTAAAAACTTTCTACTGTTTCTCCCTACCACTCCCCCAAATTTTCCAGACTACCAGACATGTTCTTCTTGTCCTCAAAGTCATCCCCTTCAGAGCCAGAGGAGATGGTCTGGATATCATCACTGTCAACTGCTGTGGCTGAAGTCTGACCAGGAGTAGGCTTTCGGCTGGTCCCACTTTCCCCCTCACTTTCTGTGCTGCTGGACAGTGTCAGGATGTCCTGGGGAAGCAGAAGGATGAGAAGAAGGAAGAGGAGTAAATGGAAAGGCCTCTTCAAATTCTTGCTTTTACCTATGGTTTGACAGAAGGGACTGAGACTGTAAGCAAGAGGAAGGTAAGATACTGAATCAAAGAGAACAAGACAGGAAGTCAAGGACAGATAAGCAAGAAAACACCTAATAATAATTATCGTGAAGGACTTGTGAGGGGAGACTGTTCTATGTTCCTTTACTTGGCTCTGAGTAATAGAAGGCTGGGTAAGACACAGCTTGAGAAGGTCACTTACATCAGGGTTGGACTGGGCAGAAGCCATGAGTCGCCGGCTCTGATGCATACTAGTCTTACTAGGTGGACGGCGAAGTCCTTCAGGCTTCACAGGAGAAGGATTGTAACCATAATTTCGAGAGGTTTCAGTAACTCTGATGTGGGGGAAAGATGATGAGAATGAGTCAGGTTACAGGCTATCTTCTTAAGAGAATGCACAAGAGAAGATAGATTCGGAGAACACGTCAAAAAGACAAGCACCAGCAGGATGGTGCACACCTAAAATCTCAGGTAATGGGAAGGCTGAAGCAAGAAAATCACGAGTTTTGGCAACTTAGACCCTATCTCAAAAAAATAAAAACAAAGGGGCTGGGGATGTAGCTCTGGGGGAGAGCACCCCGGGTTCAATCTCCAGAATCACACACACAAAAAACTTACAAGGACATCTTGTTCCGGTCATCAGGGTCCTAGAAAAGAGCAAATGCAGAGTTAAGGAAGTTAAGACGGAAATGTTAAGAAATAGTTAAGAAAGAAATGCTTTCGTGGTCCAAGGTTAACAAATCCATTAATTTGATTATTAAAGAACATTAGGTAGTTAAGGGTACACATACACTATTTAAAGTGGGAAGGTGTGGGGAAATCACCCTGACTTCATAGTAACAATTATATTCTCATCACTAAACTCCCCTAGCAGGGCCTCTATTTATAATGTAGAAAATTTTAAATTATGGTCTGGGGTTGTGGTTTAGCAGTAGAGCACTCATCTAGCATGTGTGAGGCCCTGAGTTCAATCCTTAGCACCACATAATAATAAATAAGTAAAATAAAGATACTGTGTTCAACTAGTACTAAAGGATAAATATTAAAAAAAAAAAAAGAAAAAGAAAATTTCAACATTATCAAAGACAGACCTAAAATTGATTCTTCTTTTTTTTTGTAATAGGGTTTTTACTTTTTTTGCCCAGGCTTATTTCTAACTCATGGGCCCAAATAGTTCTCTTACCTCAAACTCTTGCTACCACACCCAGCTTTAAAGTAAATTTGTGTTTGTTTTTGTGGTACTGAGGATAAATCCAGGGTTTTGCACATGGTAGGCAAGTGCTCTACCACTAGGCTCCATACCCAGCTCTTAATTTAAATTTAAATTTTGAGACAGTGTCTCATTAAATTCCCCTACACGTGTAACCCTCCTGCTTTAGTCTCTTGAGTGGCTGGGCTAAGGTGTGTGCCACCAAGCTCAGCTTGTTTCTTCAATATAAGCAAACAATGATGTAGACAACTTGCAAAATCATTAAAAAAAAAATCACTTATAATCCTTCACTTGGGAATGAATCAAATAATCTGCCTCTCCTAGGCAAATGGATTTTAAAATAATTTGGTCTTTATTTAACCTAGGAATGTACTGAGTTAAGGAAGAGAATAAGGTGGCCCAAGAAGTATCTGTCATGTAGGATGACTTGTTACTGTATTGAGGTTATTACTATAACAAAGTTAAAAGCCATTGCTTTGATTTTGGGCCACTGCTTACCTCTTTCTTAGCCTGCTTGATGTCTCCTTCATCCTTGATGGCCATTCCCGAGGTAGAGGCCTTCTCAGCCTCCCCTCGACTTCCCCCAGCCCTGCCCTCCCCACCTTCACTAGTCTTGAAGGATGAACGACTATCAGAGTCACCAAAACCACCTTCACTGACACTATTGCAGCTTAACCATGAGGCCACTTTGTTCTTGGGCGTCTCTTCGGAGGAAGGTGGATTACAGCCCCCTACAGGGACTGAGGAAGGGATAGGAAGATGTGGGGGCCCAAGATCTGGGGGGCGAGAATCCTTGGAAGCTGTCTCAGACAATCCATTCTCTTTCTGACCACGGGTCTGCCTCCGGGTAGCATAGCTGCGCCAAACTGAGCTGGTGCTGAAGTCCTCGTCCTTACAGAAGTTATCATCTGAGCTATCATCATTGGACTCTTCAGGGTCCTCTGTACCACTGTTGCCATCTTCTTGGTCCTTCAAATCTACACCACTGCTATCAGAGGAACAGGGGACATCACTCTCATATCCTTCCTTGAAATTCTCTACGCTCTCAATATGGTCCAGATTTGCAAAGTACTCGTCACCCATTTCCAGGCCCTCCTTGTCAGCAAAGTCATCTGTCAGGATTTTGCCTAAAAATAGAGAATTAAAGGCTTTCTGGAGTT